GCGCTGCGGAATTAATGCACAAGGAAATATTAATGAGACAAATATGTACAGTATAACTTAGTGATAATTAAGGATGGAAGAACATTTCAAATCAAGTAATGAAAAATGGTTATTGTAGGCTGGTTGATGAGAATGTAACTAGGAATAATGGGATGAACACAACAAAGACACAATTAGACTGAACTTCTTGACACTGAGATAAATTCAGCTGTAGAACAGTCTGCCAAACAGAGGGGCTAGAGTTCCATTGCTTGACACTTTTAAAACTTGAGTAGAAAAAAATATTGGGAAATAAACCTATGCGAAAAATCTTGCATTGCCAGTGAGATGGCATAGAAGATCTAATCAGTCTTTTTTATTTTACCTTCTATGATCCTGTTTTTCACACATGAATACCTCCTGCTTCCTCGCCTGCCCTGCCTTGATGTTAAAGGGTAATGAGGGGAGGCTGCCCTTGGTGGCTAGTAAGCCTCAGGTGCTGTCTCTCTCAGTACTTGCTCCCTGAGGACCTACTTGCCTTAAGAGCTAGATTTGTGACCTCCTTCCACCCCTACAGCCACACCCATGCCTTGCAGATGTTACTCTGTCCACAGTTCTGTCCTTGTGAAGAGGCCTCAGGCTCCTTGAATTTAGCCCCACTTTTCTCTGGCTGCAGGCCAGATTTGGGCCAAAATCTCTTGGCCTCAGCCATCACTGCATCTCTGGGCCCCTCCTGTCTTGCACTTTGTACTAGCCCCTCCAGTGTCCTTGTGTGGTCTACTCTTCACCCCTTACAGCCAGAGCCACCCCACTGGTCTCAAGGTTAAGTCACAACATAAATAGAAGCCACTGCTTTCCAACTAAAAACACCCTGTTCTGGGTTGTTACCTCTCTACAGGCCATAAACTCCTCTTAGCATTTTCCTGGAGGTTACAGGGAGCAGCTCAGGTGCCTGCTAGTCTTTTAGCTGCAGGCATCTCACTCAGGAGCTCCTCTCCCTGCAGGATGCAGGCCCAGTCTCCCCTTCTGGCTCAGGCCCCAGGCTTATATGCCTAGAAACCATGCCCCCTTTCTGCCACGTGCCTTTCCGAGCTCTGCACAGGGGTTTTCACTGTTAGTTAAAGACCAGCCTGCCCTCTTGCAGCTGTGGTCACACACCACCATCTTAGCCTCTTGTCTCCTCTTAAAGGAAGAGAAGACCCCTGGCTCCCTGTTACAGTCCCCACTCCTCCCCCTTGCATTAGACCCAAGTAACAGGGTTTGGGTCCCCTGTTACACTAAACATCAAATACTGCCCCGGCTCTTTAGGTGGAACACTAGTTAACATGGTTTGGAAATTCTACATATAAGAACGATGGTAGTTATATAGCTCTAAGTCTGGTAAAGTATGGAGGCAAATGAAAATAGCATATTATGACTCTGTAGTATCTACATCTTGGCCTCAGTATTATTCTATGAGCTCCCATCACTGTGGGGTGTAAGTGCTTCTCAGCCTGAGGATAAGAGCCACAAAAGGACTGAGGACTCCTTGGTCCAGTGATGTAGTATCTAACTTCCAGGTGTCTGGGCACCTAGTGGGCTTCACAGCCCCCAGTAAGGTACCTTGGTTCTGTAAATAGTGCATAGGAAAAGTCAGATACCTAAGACTGAGATCTGAAAAACAGGAAACCCCCTTAGCTCTCCTAAGTCTCAGGGATTTAGGTACCTACCTCTGGCCTGTGTCACTGAGGATTTGTATTTGTGGATCCTCTCCTAGCACTACGCACCTAGGGAAGACATCTGTTACAGAACATGGCCAGAGGTCCTCACCAAAATGATTCAAGGACCATTTTACCCAACAGATAATGGAATAAGGACCACAGCCCATGCCTCTTCCATTTTTAGATGAATGCTCCCCTAAGTTGAGGAGTCATACTCACTGCCTCTTCTCTATGACACAATGAATATTGGCATCATAGGATCATAGAAAAGTAGAGCTGAAAGGGACCTTACGAGGTCATCTATGATCGCTCATGATACTTTTCCACCTTTTTACACATGCGCTTTTCATGCTATAGGTGCAAGATCATAGGAAAGAAGGGCTGGAAGGGACCTCATATGGCCATCTAGTTCAGTGCCCTGCTCAAGGCAGGATCATCCCTGACTAAATCATCTCAGACAAATGCTTGTTTAACCTGTTCTTAAAAATTTCCAGGGATGAAGATTGCACAACTTCTCTATGTGGCCTGTTCCAAGGTTTGACCATCCTCACAGTCAGAAAATTCCTCTTAATCTCCAACCTCAATATCCTCTGCTGCAGTTTGAGGCCATTGTTCCTAGTCCTGTTCCCTATAGACACAGAGAAAACCCCCCAACTCCATCCTCTTTATAACTGCCTTTCAGGTATTTGAAAACTGTTATCAAATCTCCACTCTGTCTTGACTTCTCCAAACTAAATAACACAAGTTATTTTGATCTTTTCTCATAAATCATGCTTCCCAGGCCTCTAACCATTTTTGTCATTTTCTGTTCGACTCTTTTCATTCTGTCCACATCTTTCTTGAAGTGTAGGGCACAAAATCAGACCATTTGAGGCCTCACCAGTACTGAACAGAATCACTTCTCTTGATTTGAAAGTGACACTCATGTTAATACAATGCAGTATGCTGTTAGCCTTTTTATTTTCTTTTTTGCTAGAAGAGCAGAGTCTTGGTTCATATTCAGCTTATGGTTTACCATACCCTCAGGTCCTTCGCTACAGTACCGTAGCCTAGCTAGTCATTCCCTAGTCTGTATTTGTGCACAACATTTCTTCTTCCCAAGCACAGGACTTTGTACTTGTCCTTGATGAATTTCACCTGATTGTTTGTGGACCATTTCTTTAGTTTATCCAGATTATTCAGGAATTTAACTCTACCCTCCAGAATGTCTGCAGAATACATATGCAAAATGGAACAGCTTCAACAGGTGGACTTGAGAAAACAACCCCCTTCTCCATGGTTTGTAGCCTAGTGGGTCACACATTCACCTGGCATGTGAGGGATATGGCTTCAAACTTTCTTGGTAAGTCAGCCTCAGTGTCCAGCATACCTCCAACTGACATACTAGTGTGTGCAACAGGGACTGCCAGTGCTTTCTCTTCTTCCTGGTTTTTTTTTTTTTTTTTTTTGCGGGGGGGGGGGGA